CGTACAACTGGTGTTGTTTGGCGAAGCGCTGTCGCTGTTGGAGGTCTTGTTGGAGGGTGAAGTTGGAGGTTGGAGGTTGAAGCCACTTGAGATGGTCTTCCGTTTCGTAGATCTGGTCCGGGTAGATTTGGCGTTACGGGATCCAGTGTCGGCTGAAAAACAACGTAGGCGTTTTGAAACGACAAAGCACGACATTGAAGACTCGCGTGGCAGAACGGCGACACATTAGTGGTAATTATTCTGTGGCTTTAGGGCGTGTCAACTTAAACGATTAGTTCGCGTGAATCAAGTCGAACGATTCTAAACACAGCATACAAGCAATTATTACCTGCTCATATTCATATCTACATGAAGTAATTCTAGAACACAAGTTTCTGTTATAAATTATGACAGTCTCTGAAACTTCCCCAACACAGCGAAAAACATCAGAAACATTCGCCAAATCATGGGTTATGCATTCTGACATCGGAAATCCACCTTTTGAAAACGCTCCCACTTTATTTCTTAGAGATAAACTAAACGTACATCCGCCCCCAGTCAGATATCGTACGCACCTGCTGATGAGGCAGTCCTATCTTCCTCATCCCTTTCCTGTTTCATTTCAGTAGACACGCACAGGCGAGGGTCGATGACATCATCAACGGCATCACCGACAGCATCTGAGGAATAAACAGTGCTGTTATATGTAATACAGACATTGATTTACATTGCATTATACAGACATTGCAACCAAGTCGCACAAATAAGGCTCGATGGCATCATCACAAGGTGAAACTGGTGAGCTGGTGAAACTGACGTCAGCTGGGGAGCAGGCGGTACTGTTAAAGGTATGCCGTCACGAGCTACGGGACTGGTATGGTGAACAGTATCGGTAAAAAAAAAACTGCAGAGAAACTGCTGCAGGACTGTGCCTTTTCCGAGGATTCGAGACTCATGGTTTTTAGTCTATGGAAATCTTGGTTTTTAGTAAGTGTGTGGCCTTTTTTACCATTTAGCCCGGTGGAAAAAATGTTTCCAGGACGCTACTAATTGGTTAACACTAAACACTGTTGTAGTTATATAATTACTACGGGGTAAAAATAAACATGGAGTGTATATATTATATAGGACTTCCCGTAGTTCGACATGACAAGTGATCCACCGTACCATGTGTCAGAATATGGCATACGCTGAATGATGTTGCAACAGTTGCATGTTACAACACTGTTATAGAATTATTACGGGGTAAAAATAACCATGGAGCGTATAGGACTTCCCGTAGTTCGACATGACACGTGATCCAGCGTACCATGTGTCAGAATATGGGATACGCGAAACAGCGTCCCGGAATTGCATTTTGGCTTGGGTGTCGGAGGGAGAAATTTATCAGCAATAAGGGGGATGAGAGTGGAAAATAGCTGGTCAGATAAGGCCCAAAAAGAGTGATAACAGATAGATAGCATAAACTTCTATTAGTGTGGCAAAATGTACCTATGATGTAAAACGACCATCCTCGCAAATGCTTTCCTCGGTAAAATTGGGAGATGAAAATTGCTCTGAAAAAAAATTGGTGGTAGGAGTGCAAAATGATTTTCATTGGGATGTCGTTTCACACCCAAATCAACAAATTTTTGGAACACTGAGTCTGTCGCTGAATGATGTTACAACAATGGCATCGCCAAATGCATGACGATCCGCAGGCTCAAACGATGTTTTGCACATTATATTTTCGACGAACTAAAAACAGAACAATTCGAAAAGTTGCAGCCAAAAGCAGAACTGCAGCGTCGACGTGTTTTCGGTCGCTCTGACTCCGACTCCAGTCAGAAGTCAGAACTGTCGAATCCCACCGACTCAGACTCGGACTCCGACTCCACAGCACTGGCCAGAAATTCAAAAAGCAACTAAATAGGCCAAAAAAACAGAACATTGATGATTGACCAACGCAGGCATGAAAACGAATTCACGTCTCGATAAAATGTGTTCGGGAATCCCATATTTAAATCACTTGTGAAGTATGGGTAACGTACAGAGCAGACCACCGCTTAAAACACGCGCAGTGGAAGGGGGGGGGGGCGGATTTCGCCCACCCCTCCTGTTTTTCGCCAATAACTCGCTCCGCAAGCATAATATCAATGTGAAATTTTGGCTACCTGTCCAGAATTAAATTGCGGATCTTCTCGTGCAAAAAGTAAGAAAATCGGTTCACAACTTTTCTAGAAATAGCGGTGTTAAGTCAAACATCCTGCCGCCGCGGCGGCGCGGCGGCGCGACGGCCGGCGCTAGCCGTTACGCGCCGCCTGAATTGTAGACTGTGCCGGGGCGGGACGGTTCCGTCTTTACATCGCGCTCCTTACCGCTGATTATATTAGATTCGCGTCAAATTCGGTGAGAAGACTGAGAAATGTACAGGCAATCATATGGTCAAAGAATTTTGAAAATCGGCCGGTAACAACTTGAGTTATGAGTGTGTAAACACAAAATTGTGATTGCCGCGTTTCCCGCGTCGGCCGATGCCGCTTCAGCCGGCGACATCTTACCCTTAGCAGGCTTCTAACTGCCATATTTATCGTTGGATTATCTAGAAATTCACCATACATACTCACAACTGTTTGCTCTTTCGTATAGCGAAAGATTTAAAAAAATCGGCCGGTAACTTTTTGAGTTTTCGGCGTGTAAACGCAAAAAAGTCGCTAATATGGCCGATTTGACCACATTTGACCTCATTTGACCTTGAAGATATTGACCTAGGGTCATGAAATTCACACACAACAGAGTTCCCCATGGCCCCCACCTACCCTCCAAATTTCGTCTTTCTAGCTCCAGTGGGAGCTGAGATCTTAAGGGGGGGCGACATCCGCCCCCCCCCCCCTTCCACTGGGCGTAGTACTCGCAACCCTTCCACTGCGCGTGTTAACCCGGCAGTTGCTGGGGTATTTCGCCACTCACCGTTTGCTGGGGGGGGGGGGGGGCGTTAAACGCCCCCAGCCGATAACTCGAGAACCAATAGGTGCAGCGAAACGCACGAGGCGGCAAACGAAACAGCGCGACGAGACGCTTCAGATGAGTACTTTAAAGTTGAATTTTGAGGTCACAGGTCGGGTCAAGGTCAGGTCAAACACCCGAAAACGGGCTTTCAGTAGCATGGACTTCAGGACTTCGCAATGGGCGCCTCTCGTCACAAACTCTGTCAAAACGGTTCACAATCCATCATATAAGGCCTACAAGAGTGTCAGCTCCATGTAGGGGTCAGTCAAGCATAGGTCAGGGTCAAGGTCAGGTCAACCGGGTAGGCACATATACCCGAAAATCAAAACTGATATTCGCAGCCTGTGACACATGTTTTATAGGTAATTTGGGGCGTGGAACACGATGGTGACATTCATTTTATCATATGTGTACGTGTTTGGCTCAAAAAGTTCAATTTAAGAAATGCATGTATCATGGTCGTGAAGTTGCAACCGTGCGCACAAGTCGGGAACCTTGGCGTCACTTTTGACAGCACTATGTCATGGGACGCACACGTCTCTGAACTCTGCCGCCGGTGTACGGGACTGTTGATTGGTCTTTCACATGCGCGCCACTGTCTCCCAGATGGCATCATTCGAACGCTCGTGACGGCACTCGTTGTATCGCGTATCCAGTACTGCCTTTCGGTTTATGGTAATGGGTCCCAAAAAAATTTCGATCGACTCCAAAAAATTCTTAACTTCGCCGCTAGAGTTATTTTCGGCCGCCGTAAATTTGACCATGTCTCCGACCTGCGAACAAAACTCGGGTGGTTGTCCCCGCGCGGTATGTCCGATTTCCACACCCTTGTCATCGCACACAAGGTCACACAGCGCCGTGAACCTGAGCAACTAGCAGCCCTGTTCGTCGCTAATAGCGCTATCCGCGAGAGACCATCCAGACAAGATCACTTCTTCCATCTTCCCCGTCCACGGCTGGAAACGGGCAAGCGGCGGTTTGGCTATCGAGCTGCAGCTCTGCTGAACAGCCTGCCACCTCACCTGTCGCAGCTGCCTCCCGCCCGCTTCGCCCGCGCTGTTAAAGCCGCAATCGTGGACGATGAATCAGCACATCGTCGCTGACCAATAGGATAGGGGTGGGTAAAAGCGATGAGGCTGTCCTGAGAGTGTTTTGTCCTTGTTTTGACGTGAGTGAATGTGCAACTGTTTTGAATGATTAGATTAGCAACCGCGGATACGGATTCTGAGCAGTAATCGCCACGCACTTTGTATGTGGATCGCTCTTAAATGTAAATACAATACAAATACAAGTAGTCACGAAAAATTGCCAAGATTCAGTTCAAGATTATGGAAAATGCGGAACGATAATCAATAATCGAAGATAGCCATTTGATTGCTCATGGTATTGGCAGTCTAATGGCGTTTACGGCATGTCTGTATGTCTATTCTGTGATTTTATATGATTTTTTGAACATATGCCGTTTTTGGTCGAAAACTCGGAAATCATGACGTCACTAAAACCTCGATATCTCAAAAATTTTCCAAACGATCTTTTTGAAACCTTGTCACAATAAACTTCAATCAATTCCCTACAGGTACCCAAGATTGCGCGCCGTTTTTATGCTATGGCCCGGCGAAAAAAGTGGGGGCGTTTAACGCCCCCCCCCCCCAGCAACTCGCGGGTTAAGTAATGTGCGGTTTTACCTATCTCAACAGATGGATTTGACTGGTGATTTTTCAATGCGGAGTGATCGAAAAGAAGAGGTCAATTGATAAAGTTGCAGCTGTAAGGGTGACGATACATGTAAGCAACATTCAAATTTCATTGTAGTCTGGCTAATCGTTCCTAAGCTTCAGAAACAGAACATACCCTGACTGAAACCGCACATTACTTCTGCTGTGGACTGTATATACCTCAAACCTCAAACGACTTTTCCTTACCTTCCCTACTCGCAGACGAGGAATCTATAGATGCATCATGTGACTCCACTTCTATCCTCGGCATTTTAACATCAGGTTTCACATCTGGTGCGCCCTCTGTGAATAAGTTGCAGATGTTAACAACATTCTAACATATGAACAGCACCTTACTCAAAAATCGATTCTGTACAATGCACAGAATCGAACATGCTATTGGTCTCAAGAAAAGGGCCCAGGCGACCGGTAGTTTTGATGCGGTGAATACCCTTACCCTCGCCACAGCTCGGGCCGAGTGCACCCCTCACCCCTACCCACCCTCACCCCCCACTCGAGTTGTGGCGAGGGTTCCGAACTTCAGGTCGCCTGGACCCTTATGTTGAGAGTTGAGACCAATAGTACATGCTGAAATGATGTACTATATCAAAGGTGTCTAACATCAAAAAAGGTTGAAGATGTTTCACATGACGGCTAAAATCGGCAGAATTTAGAGTCCAAAGTTTAACGTACTCACATGGCCGCGTGCGGCCAGTCCCCTCGCTGACTTCGCCTGGCTACGGCCTGCCACCAACCGCAACCATACCTACCAGTCAGGAGGCCCATAAACATCGAGCCCCCGTCGTGTCTCGAACCCCGGAATGTTGTTACTGGGATGGGTGCTCTCACCACGCGGAGTCCAACGTTCTACCGACTGAGCTACGGGACCGGCAAAAGTGGTTTAAATTTTTGGCTTTAAATGTGTGATTCCCCAAGTAGGTATGAATTAGCTGTTTAATATCAGCTAATATTGACATCAGAGTAAGGAAGATCTTAGTTTATAAGACACTCATCAACATCATCAGCATCATAACCAAATTTATCAAACCAAAACACTCAACTGCATTGCCTAATGGCAAAAACTAGTACAATAGCAAATGTCTCACTGTATCAAGAAAATAACATTTAAAGAATAAATGTTTATGATGCTAGCTTCAAAAAAAGTTGGTCACCTCCTGAGTATGAAGGAGATGAAGCGTCAGGACCATTGCTGCTATCCATAATTCGCTTCAGTACGTTGATGTCTGGCTTCACATCACACTGCTCATCTGCAACATGAAGGAGCATAATTTAGTGAGGCAAGACCATATAACATAGTCACTGAGGTACCTACTAGATGAAGGGAGTTATTATTAAGTAGGCCTAAGCACAGTGTAAAAAAGAAGGCAAAAGTTTATAGCAGCAGTAGTCTTTAAATTTTACAATTCCTACCTAGGCATCAACAAGCCAACCATTAATAACGTTTAATAACATCTAGGTGATTTAACCCGCACCCCGTTGGGATCTGCCGAGCAACGCCGGGGGGGTTTTGCCCTCCTAGGATCATCGATGGAGAATTGTTCGTCAAACACATTTTGCTATTTGCAGTCACTGATATCAGGTCAGGTCACAGAGTTCAGGTCACTGAGGATCACAATATGAAAATATCATGTGAATTGTGATGGATGTTTTATAGTCCATTTTACATGACAAATGTGATTATGTGGGTCAGGCAGCCTTTGCGGCCAGTCTAGGTTATGTTCTGGTGAAGGTCAGGTCAAGGTCAGGTCAAATTAGGTAAAATCTAAAACTTGATATTTTTGCATAAAATGGGTAGGTATTGATTCGATGTAGTTCGTCACGGGGAGTTTAATGGTGGTCTTTGTTTTGCGCTTCCTGGTCTAGAATTGCTAAAAATTTAGTTAAAAAATTTGATGTCATCAATTTTGGCCAGTTTTTTCGCTATAACTTGGTCAAAAAAGGAGGTATCAATCCAAAAGTTGGTAAGTTGATAGAACAGCGCAGCAACTACATATATTTTTCATTTTTCGAAATTCGATTTTTTAGATTTTCTTGCTATTTTATTAAAAAATTGTTTATTTTGGGGGTCAATATCACAAATTGAAAATCTGAGATAGGTAGCAGTTTTGTAGCGCCGTTTTTTCTCTACACGAGCACATAAAGAACTTTGAAATTGCTTGGAAAATGGAAACTGTAGCTTTTGTGGACATTTCAAGATTTCATGTTTTTTGCTCATTTTTGCTCAAACATGACCTCAGTTTGACCTCAATAACTCCTGACCTAAGGTGACCTAAGGCTTGACATTTGGTGTGCGGGGGTCAAATTGATGCCCGGGCAGGGAAGGTACTCATAATTTGGCAACTACAGGGGCGGGGGCATATTGCCCCCCTCCCAATGGGGAGAGGGTTAACCCGCGCCCGGCTGGGGGTCCTGGATTTCCACGCCCTGCTGGGGGGGGGGGGGTGTTTGAACACCCCCCCTTCTAACTCGGCTCCTGGGCCACGTAGCGATACGCGGAAGGCGGCGTTCGAAACAGCGTAAAAAATAATGAGGAAATCACTTCAGTCAATTTTTTGCTCAGGTCAAAGGTCAGGTCACCAGAGGTCATTGAAGGCAAAATTTCGCCGATTTCCAGGTCGAATGTCGAAAATTTCCAAGAAGCCAACGCATAACTCGGGAACGAAAAGAGCTACAGCGCCGCGGAAAAGCGCATTCGATAGCCCTATTAACGCCCTTTCTGAGTAATTTTCTCAGATTTGACCTAACGTCAACGGTTTTGCCTGCAGGGGGCAAAAACTGTAAAAATAGCCGATTTTTTCGGAAACAGTTTTTCTGCAATAACTTTTGACCCAAGCCTTGTACGAGCTTACTTTTACCGGCATCGTGTTCCTCTCGTCAAGACGCATCGAATGAACTACAACTTGACCTTGAAAGGTCAACTTGAAAATTTGACCTCAGGTCAAGGTCATGACCTGACCGGAAAGGGTCATGCTGCATATCAGTCGATCCGTATCGTCGAGCTGAACACATCTAAGGCGTTTTCATCGCTCTAGCATGCCTCTATCAAAAGTTACTTGCGAAAAACTGTTAGATACCATTCGTGACCTAAGATGACCTCAGGGCATAAACAGGGGTCACGGACACCATTTTCATGTTCAGTGTGTCTAAACCACTTGTAATTCAGTGTTTTGGAGTGTTTATAATGGCTTTCGTCCAAAAGAGGCGCATTTCAATTTTCTCCCATTGACTTATAATGGGGAGGTCGCAAAATTGACCTGACCTTAGGTCACCGATATCAAAATTCTGAGATATACATTTTGTACATGCTATTGCTCTTAGCAATCGCTGAAAGTTTCAAAGCAATCGGTCACTCGGTGTAGCTATGACAGACATTGAAACTTTTTATGAGGTGAGGTCACTTCAAGTGACCTGGTGACCTGACCTTGAATGACCTTGGTCTGAAATTTTCACAACATGTGTAGAATTGATGTATGATAAGGTGTACCAAAAACGGCGGCGGGAGCGCCGCGTTTTTGAGATATTCGCGAAAAACCACAAGGGGGGGGTGTTCAAACACCCCCCCCCCCCCCCAGCAGGGCGCGGGTTAAGCATGATTTGGAGAAAAAACTTTTGTTGGAGACATTTCTTTATGGAAAAAACAACAAAAAATTGGCAACATAATTGTACATGAGTGAGGTGGATGGAAGCAGCTCATTCTCACCTTCGAACACTGAAGGAGATGCCATACCTATTGCTAATGCTGAATATCTTGTTCACTCAGTCAACATTTATGATAAGCCTCAGTTTGCCAGCTTACCTGTGAAATATAGACATATTACAATTACAAGTTATAAGTCAGGATACCACTTCAATTTGGTCTTAGGGAGGATTTCATGAGTTAACCCGGCAGTTGCTGGGGTATTTCGCCACCCACCGTTTGCTGGGGGGGGGGGGGCGTTAAACGCCCCCAGCCGATAACTCGAGAACCAATAGGCGCAGCGAAACGCACGAGGCGGCAAACGAAAGAACGCGATGAGACGCTTCAGATGAGTACTTCAAAGTTGAATTTTGAGGTCACAGGTCGGGTCAAGGTCAGGTCAAACACCTGAAATCGGGCTTTCAGTAGCATGGACTTCAGGACTTCGCAATGGGCGCCTCTCGTCATAAACTCTGTCAAAACGGTGCACAATCCATCATATAAGGCCTACAAGAGTGTCAGCTCCATGTAGGGGTCAGTCAAGCATACGAGGGGCGTTCAATAAGTTCTCGGCCCGACCATGAAGGAGCAGAGATACGATGTTGACTTATTAGACCAAAAATGTTCATTTAGTCAAATAACCAGCGTTAAGACAAAAACATTTCACGCAGCGTTTCGCGAGAGGCCCCTGGGTCTCCATAGCCAAGTGGGTTTTGGACACATCTGGCACGTCCAAGACAGCTGCTTTTGTCTCCTTGCTGTCAGCGAAGTTGCCTTTGCTAAGCAATTTCCTTATGTTGGGGAAGAGGTGGCAGCCTGAAGGTGCAAAGTACGGAGAAAAAAGTGGCTGTGACAACAACTCGAAGCCACAGCTCACTGCTTCGCTGATCGTCACCCTGCTCATGTGTGCTGGTGCGTGGTCCTGGATCAGGCGCACACTTTTAGTCAGCTTTCCTAGTCTTTCCTTGATAGCTGCTGCTCGCTACTGTTATCGAAGGGAGGTGTAGTATTCATCATTAACTGTGTGCCCCTGTTTTAGAAAGTTGACGAGCAGAGCCCCGCCAGCATCCCAAAATGCAACCACTGTCACCTTGCCGTCAGACTTAAACACGTCGCACACATTTGGTGGCCTTTACTCAGTGTGCCTCCACTTGTGCAACTCGGTCACGCCCTTAGGGTCAACGTATGACACCCACAATCCCTCCACGGTAACAAGTAGTTCAATGAACTCTTTTGGATTTTCGATATAGGGGCCAAAATTTTCACGTTACGCCTCCTTTCGAGTTTGCCTTTCCTCTGGAGTCAGCAAACGGGGGATGCATCTTGCAGAGATCTTAAACATATTAATACGCTGTCGAAGAATAGCTTTGAGGAACCTGATAGACACATCCGCTTCTGCTGCGTTGTTCCAGACCAGAACATTTGCCATATTTTTCACATTTTCTTGAGTCAATGCTGTTGATGGCTGGTCACTGCGGGTGTGACCATTAATGATCTGTTGACCAAAATTGAACAGAGATGCCCACTTTTTGACGCTACTGTAAGAAAGACAAACCTCAACATGTGTTGGCACTAGCTTTTCGCGAATAACTTTTGGTGCATTTTTCTGCAATACATGAACCAAATCACTGTTCTCTTCTGGGCGTCGCCCTTTCTGACCGGGAATGGCAAACTATGTTACGATTAATTAGCAGCCTGAACCAGTCACAGGGCAGATTGGTTAATGGCTACGTAAGTGGACATCCCAATAACACATCATTGCACACACCGCGTTGCAGGCCGAAATTCCTACTCCTTCATGGTTGGGCCGGGAACTTTTTGAACGCCCCTCGTAGGTCAGGGTCAAGGTCAGGTCAACCGGGTAGGCACATATCCCCGAAAATCAAAACTGATATTCGCAGCCTGTGACACATGTATTATGGGTAATTTGGGGCGTAGAACACGATGGTGACATTCATTTTATCATATGTGTACGTGCTTGGCTCAAAAAGTTGAATTTAAGAAATGCATGTATCATGGTCGTGAAGAAGTCACGAGAAATTGCAGAGATTCTGTTCGAGATTTTGGAAAATGCGGAACAATAATCAATAATCGAAGATAGCCACTTGATTGTTCATGGTATTGGCAGTCTAATGGCGTTTACGGCATGTCTGTATGTCTATTTTGTGATTTACTATGATTTTTTGAACATATGCCGTTTTTGGTCAAAAAGTCAGAAATCATGACGTCACTGAAACCTCGATATCTCAAAAATTTTCCGACCGATTTTTTTGAAACTTTGTCACAATAAACTTCAATCAATTTCCTACAGGTACCCAAAATTCGTTTTCATGCTATGGCCCGGCAAAAAAAGTGGGGGCGTTTAACGCCCCCCCCAGCAACTCGCGGGTTAAGGGCCCTGTTTCACCGGTGATAGCGGCACGCTGCTATCAAGCTGCTAATGCACGTGTCAAATTGGGTTTCCATGGAGACATCAACAAGCCTATTCCTCCAACACTACCAGAAGTGTGACGTCAGCTCGCGAAATGGAAGTGGATCGCCCATGATCGTAAATACAATACAATACAATACAATACAATAGCAGCGTGCTGCTATCACCGGTGAAACAGGGCCAAGGAGTCAGTAAGGAGAGTTAAAACGCACAAGAATATCAGACAGCGAACTCTTAGATCTTCTGCCAAGTTCGCAGTAGCTTTTGTGACCTATATGATACAGGTACCTATTAATTGTCCAACCAGTAAATTTTTGCACCTCAACCTACGTTGATGTGCATCCTTATTTCTACAGTGACTATAAATAATATTGTCCAAAATATCAATATTATTTTGCCAGGGCTAATCTCGTCCAAAATAACACAATTGTCCGCTGACATGGAATTGAATTGGATTTTAGGGATCCCTTTCACTTTAAGCACCAATGCAGCAGGAAAACAAATAATGATAATGTGTGTCATTTCATGCACTGATGATTCAAACATGGATGAGGTATTGAGGAGTAATTCATCCCAATCCGATTCATGATTCAAATGAGCAGTCCAATGCGAGCAGTCCCTGAGCAATTTTTCCCTTTTCACCCTTTAAAAACAAAAAAAAAACGAAGAAACAAACAAAAAATACAACTGGGCCAGTTTCGTCACATCGTCGTCATATATGACTTGAATTTTTTTAGAAAGGGAAAGTTTTTGATGATGCATAAAACTAGATTTGCATGATTTTTGAATTCATCTGTCATTTTTTTGCTAATACAAGTATAATTTGGCAATAACATAAATCAAAAGTAAAGTTATCGGAGCTTGAAATTTTTTAAAAGAACATGGTCGTAAAAAAATGACGTCATTTTTTCACTTTTTTTTGTTTCTTCATTTATCTAGATTACAATTTTTCGGCATCCTTGATTGCAATGTTTCGCTCAAAAAGCAAAAATTTAGTAGGACGGCAAAACATAACTCTGCAGGGCCGTGTATATAGGTCTCTTTGTTCGGCTTTTTTATGAGGATTTGGGGCATATTGATATTGGGGGGCCGTACTTTTAAAGGGACCCTCCCACCTTCACATTAGTTTTGAGTTGAGATAGCCAAGTTTGCGGCCAGGCTCAGAAACCACCATTTATCCTGGTCGCAACCCCCGCAGCTTTATGGTGTTCAAGAAATTTCTTCCCTTTACTTGCAGGGTGGGACCAGCGTGGTCCCTATCTCTTAACCATTACGGGAGTCTGATGACGTCATCAGGCTTTCGAACGTCCGTTAAATGTTTGACTTAAACGTTTTGTAGCACGCGGTGGTATATGCTTTTTTGCGCGCAACAAATGCCGCACTTTCAAATAAAGTCGCTAGGAACAGCGGAGATCCCAAAAAGTAAACAAAACAGTCGGGGAAACTATGGTAAAATCTGCTATTTTTAGCAGTCTGCTATTTTTAGCAGAAATCTGCTAAAAATGGGTACGCATGTGACGTCATCGTACCCAAATATAGCAGATTTGGGTACGGCCCCCGACAAAAGCAGATCTGCACTCTAATTGAAGCAAATGCGCATCAAATGCCTGGCAGATTCATGATTAGAATAGTGCTGAGAATGTCCTCTGATATTTTTGTTCAGATCCGACTATTTTCAAATAATGAATTTGAAAATAGTCGGATCTGAACAAAAATAGCAGAGAACACTCTCAGCACTATTCTAATCATGAATCTGCCAGGCATTTGATGCGCATTTGCTTCAATTAGGGTGCAGATCTGCTTTTGTATGGGGCCGTACCCAAATCTGCTATATTTGGGTACGATGACGTCACATGCGTACCCATTTTTAGCAGATTTCTGCTAAAAATAGCAGACTGCTAAAAATAGCAGATTTTACCATAGTTTCCCCGACTGAAAAGTAAAAGTCTAATACAAGATACCTATAAGGTCTAATATCTTGAAAACCGGTGAATATTTTTCGATGAAATTTGGTAAATATTCGTTTTTGCTCTTTCTGAACCGAGCGACATCACTTTCATGCCAATTCATTAACTTTTTTGAAGGTGGGAGGGTCCCTTTAACTGAATTATTATTGGGAGGGTATTGGCTTACTAAGTGAGGTGAGTACCTAGTCGGTAAAGGTGGGTAGGTAATGTTCGATGTTATCAGCAAGGCTGTTATCAGTTACACGCATTTTTTCGCGTATCGTGTTTCACTGAGTTGACATAAGATCAACTTTTTCTGCGGTAAGTCAACCTGAACTGACACTTGACAGTCATGGGTCAATTGCCTGAATTTGAAATTGAATATGATAATCCTGACTCATCCAGACCCAAGGGTGAGCCTTTTTTACTCCCCAGACTCCAGAGGGCCGTTCACGGGTACCGCACACTGCTGAGTGCTGTGTGTGTGGTGTGTGCAGTAGGCGTTGGGGTAGGGGAGGGGTAGTTGGTGTGACGTCACATGCCACACAGCTGCGTGCGGTGCGGCCAGACTGGAAAAAATACATGTTATGCCAAATATGTCAGGTGTAGTGACAGGATCGCGCGCGCCGAAAATTACAGCGCACATCCGGTGTAACTTCACATATGCCGAATTTGGCGCATGGCGGCGGCTGAGGACTGTTCACGGGCCCTGTGTGCGACAGCCTCCAAGCTCCGCCCACTGCGTCCCTACGTCAGCCTTCCGTCACCGCACACAGCGACTGCTGTGGCCGACGCGCTGTGGCCGGTCGGAACCAGCCACAGGGGACCGTCCACCGCACGCAGCCGTGAGGTCAGAACCGCCTACCCATCCCCTACCCCCACGCCTGCTGGACCCACCGCAGTCTGCACACACCGCACTCAGCAGTGTGCGGTGCCCGTGAACAGCCCTCAGGGCACTTCATCGTGCGGCCTCGCATCAATGGCGCGACAACTGGTTCGAGTCACTATTCAAGCCACTCCTCGGGGGCACGCCGCCGCTCCCTATCCCCGGAAAGGACCGAGAGGACGCCGTTTCGGTGCACCAGGTGAGGGCGGGGCCCGGTCCGCTCCAGTACGTGCACCGAATCGGCTGTCTCCCCTTCGCGGCGTGCCAGCAGTGGCAGTGCCCGCACAAACGGTGCCCAGCGGCGCTCTGCGCCTTGTGCCAAGAAGAGGCTTACGTGCCGGAGCACGTGCTGCTACGCTGCCCGGTCCTCACTGGCCCCCGCCACCCTCGAACACACCGCTCCGCCGATTTTTGTGAACAGCCCTCTGAACAGCCCCCCGTGCCCCCCGTGAACAGCCCTCTGACTCAAAATCAAATAAACAAACAGTCGGGGGATGAGGAAATGTTGATATATATGGTTGCGGGTTACCAGCTAGGCTATTGTTACTATTTATTTAGTAGAATTCACTAAATAAATCCTCTGATTGTAAACCCAGCCGCATATTGTGGCCACTTTAACTGTTCGCAGATTTCTCAATAGAAGCATATTGACTCCAGTGAATAAAGCCACTGCTTGATATATCCTAAACGCTGTGTAACCAAGTTGGATTTAATAAGCCGATTCTACTATATTTCAGCCCGATATAACCATGCTGTTGAGCCATTTGGTATCAGGCACTAGGCAGTTTGGCGGATTGCTGAGTAGGTTGTCAGGACTTGTCTCATAATTTTGTATGATGCAACCTGAACCGGGGACAGCAAATCAAATGTTTTTGCTTGACATGGTTTTATTTTTGTTTCAGGTTATCTCGATGGCGGCCTCAGGCCCGGTGTCACGGTCCATTCAGTCTAAACTGGCCCAGCTGAAGCCATGTCACTTGGAGGTCAGGCTCAGGGGGTTACGGTTCTATGCTGCCACATAGGGAGGGCTCAGGAGGCAGATGACGCCACGGGAAGTCATGGTTTTGTCGATTTTTAAGACTTTGCTGTGCAGTAAATTATCTTTTTTTTAGGTCTAAGGGAGCCTAAAGGGTAATATCAAACTGCCTTAGAGTATAAAATCTTCGGAAGATTAATATTGGCGAAAATTGGTAGACACCCGCTGACGTCATCTGTCAAGGTCACGGATGTAAACAAATGGCTAACTGTTCTACCTCCTATATACGGCCTTGGTCAGGCTGTGAACTCTGTTGTAATTCTCATTTTCAGGCATCGTGTAGTATTTTCACGTTTTCTCCATCTCACGTGCAGTGCCTTTTAGGAACTTGGCCTGGGGATATCATATATAGAGGCAGCTGAGCAAGTTTCTATGTCGACATTGACATTGTTTGAGGTTCACCTTGCACAGCTGAACAATTTTCAGTTTGAAATAGTTTGTTTTAGTGCATGCTTCATTCTCTTTTAGAACATCTTTCAATAAATCATGTTTAGTAATCAGTAGGTTCTGACTTGAAAAGCATATCAATGGCAAGTCTTTGTTCCTGTTTGTTATTTACAACTTTCAGTTGTCAGTTTCATCACATCCTGATCCTTTGAATGAGGAAGAATCATATTCATATTTTTATTTTTATTTTCAAATCTTAGGTGTCTCACTCCCCATGTCTCTTGTTCATATCAATTGCATTGCATATGCCTGTTGATTTGATCTTACAGCATTTTCTTCTCTCACAGATAATTAACGAGTCATTCATGCATAACGTGCCAAAAGGGTCTGAAACACACTTCAAAGTGGTAGTTGTCAGTGAAGAATTCCAGCAGAAGCCTCTGATACAGGTCAGTAGATAAAATGTCAGCAGAAGTCACCCATCTTGCTGACCCTCCCCTATAACACACACAGACATATTTTACAAATTGTGAGTCATGTGTCTTCTAAAGCTTTCCAGTGATCACAAATTCACTACGGACAATGTCCATAGTGATCCATGTCCATTGGACATGGATTAGAGATAACTCTAAGAGGTATCTCTTATCCATGCTTTGAACATGGATGAAGTATAACCTAATCAATGCTTTGAAGGTTGGATGGGAATAATGACTGAAGCAATCATAATGTGCTTACTGCTTAGTCATTGGTCTGAACAAAAATCTAGTTATTAGGCTTGTAAATGTTTTGTGCTCTCTGCAGTAACCAGTAACGAGTATCATAATATTGACTGTGGGGTTAATTTACTCTTGGAATTAAAGCCAAATGAGCAGCTACACCCATGGCGATACTTGTCCTCATACCAGCTCCAACACCACCTCCCTTGTGTCGTGTCTTGCCTGCCCTCTGACCCGCCACCTGGCGGCGCTCTGTCGAATTACAGCGCCACCGTATGGTCAACAGTCTTCTGAGCGAGGAGCTGGCCTCGGGAGTACACGCCCTCTCCATAGTGGTGCGTATCGAGCAAAGGCACGAGATAGCGCCCCTTTTGGGCTTTGATTCAGGTTCCTTACAGTGCAAAGCATTGTGCAAAGCTCCAAAGGCCGGAAAGACTCGTTGTCAGGAAATCATATGCGAGAGCCTTTTCAAATAGGTACATAATATTGTGCTCTCGTCAATCGTACACCTCCCTGCGTACGGTTGTTGCCAATGTGAAATGCAACGGAATAGGTCCCCGCATGCGATTTCCTAGGGGTGTTCACGGGCACCGCACACTGCTGCGTGCGGTGTGTGCGGTACGTCCAGCAGGCGTGGGGGTAGGGGATGGGTAGGCGGCTCTGACGTCACGGCTGCGTGCGGTGGACGGTCCGCTGTGGCCAGTCCCGACCGGCCACAGCGGTCGCTGTGTGCGGTGACGCAAGGCTGACGTAGGGACGCAGTGGGCGGAGCTTGGAGGCTGTGTGCGGTCCGACCGCACACAGGGTCCGTGAACAGCCCTCCTGACTGCAGAAATAGTTTGTTTCAGCCCTAATTGCTTTGCTTATTGGCGTGAACGACCAATACTGTGTCATTGTTTGTGCATCATCTATCCGGGCCACTGGCAAAGCCACCATGTTGGAAAAATAATGACTCAGGTTAAGGCCTTCTTGTTTTTATGACTTAATCAACCAGCTGATATTGTGAATAGTGGTCATCCATATTTGTTTGGAGAAAGGTATGCAGTTCGTGAAGCTATTTAGTATTTTACATGAGATGGAAAACGGAAAACGAAACGTGATTGATACTATCGTAGTATGGTCTGATCTGGATTGCTCCCGCCCATTTCACAGGCGAAGACCCCTGACCAGTGGTCTTCAACACAGAAGGTAGAGCCGAGCCCCAACTGTATGGGAGGCTTTGGAAAGTAGAGAGACTGAAACGAACTGGATAGTAGTGGCGGCGATAAGCGCCGTGTTTAGTGCTGATTGAGGAGAAAATAGTGACGGAAAGAAGTGAAAAATAGTGCTGAAACGAGAATATAGTGCTGACAGTGACGGAAAGAAGTGTCGTGGAGATCGTGTTGATTGAGGGTAGTAATCAAAGTGAAAGAATGAGTTGCAATTGACTGATAAATGCCGTAGGACGTCTCCGAAATAGTTACGAAGACCGGAAGGGAGTGGTGTTGTGTCGGATCACATCAAAATTGTGTTGAAACAATCGAGCACAGTGCGTGGTTTCCGTGATTAACCGTAGCGCGATAACAGATTGATGATCGCTGTTGGACCAACCTCGCACCCCTGAATGGACTGGCTGAGCCTCCGTCTATCGAACATGAGACTAGAGGAAAGAGTCAAACGGGAGAAAAATAACACCCGACGACTCGGTAAGCTAGTCACTAGTGACGTCATGGAGACTGATGGTGACGTCATAGATGGCGAAGGTGACGTCATGAGTGCCAGTGGTGACGTCATTAGGCAGAATGTCGATGCTTCTAGCGGCGAAGAGGCGAGATGTTGTGCGGGTGATGCTTTAGAAGTATCTGAAAAAGAAGGCTCCGATGGCATTGAAATTCCTGTAAATTCTGACAAAAATGAAGTCATGGATGTAATTGACAACTCCAGCAATGGAGGTGACGTCATATCATCGATTGCCACTGCTGACTCTAAGCCGGATGACGTCACAGAAGCCGTCGCCGATGACGTCTCCACGCTAGAAAACGCGTCAGTCATGTCCGTCCGTGCCTCACCCGTGCCCGCTGACGTCACGATAGCACCAGATGACGTCACACTGGGTCTGGATGACGTCACTGATACGGTAGTTGCCAATAGTGACGTCACACTCAGCGATGTGACGTCATCGGATGACGATGAAACACCAGAACAGTTGAGAGAAAGATGTAGAAGACAGAAGAGACAACTGAGAGGTCTCAAACGGAGACTAGAGCAGCTGCAGAGGGAGAATGCCGCTCTGCGCATGCGCCGTGACCCAGAGGAGGTCGTGGCGGAGGGGGTGAAGGAAGACACGGCACTTGACCCGGCGGCCATAGTGGAAGATATCAAACAGGTTAGTTGGAGGGGATATGTGCCTATGTGAACGGAAAAGTTTGCACTTTGCATGGTTGTATTTAATGATTTATGAGAGCGTATACCATGCGTAAACCGTGTTGTTACTCTTTAGTAGGGTGTAAAACAGCTGAGAAGGATTTCCAGTGGCTGCATAATCGCGCAATTACTCTCTGGTATCTCGCCAAACTGTGCCATGCGCCACTACCAGCTAATTGAAAAACACAATTTTAATGAATGCTGTTGTCAATTTGCAAAACAACCTGCGGTTATCCTAAACGACCAAAATATGCCGATTTTACTCCGTGCTATTTTTGGTTACTGTGTTTTTCGCATGTAATTTCCAAAGCCTTGTGATAAAGGTATCCCATTTACTCCACTTCAAGTCCAGACTGTCGTGTGGTCCCGACTGAGATTCGAACCCGCTTCTCCCGCGTACAGGCCGCAGCAGAGACAGCCGCGCAGCTGGCGCCATCTGGACTAGTGTTCGAGCCGGAGACGGGCCTGTACTACGATCACGACTCGGGATACTACTGGGACGCTAGTGCCCAGATGTACTACGATGGGACCAATGGATACTATTTGAGGTATGGGATACTACTGGGTTGCTAGTGCTCAGATGTACTACGGGATGGGACGAGTGGATACTATCTGAGGTATGGGATACTACTGTGACGCTAGCTGTGCTCAGGTGTATTGCAATAGGGACCAGTGATATTATCCAAGATATAAGGGCTAGAGAGTACGACAGCTGGGTACACGTGTATTTTTGTAAGACCGTAGCACAGTATTTCAGCAAAGATCATTACATTTCATAGCATTTTCGTAGGGTGTCGTGACGTAAAGATGTTGTTACAATTTCAAGCTACAGATGTATAACCGGAGTTTTGAATAGAGCAATGGAAAGTGAAGAAAAGAGATTGGTAATTTTAACATTCCTTCAGGTAGTTTTACTCGAGCAATGAAACTGAGGTGTGTTTAACGCACGTTAAACATACTCTACCGGCTTCTGTTCTACCTCGTATCGTCGATTCTCTTGTACTTTCTCACATTCGATACTGTGCGCAGGTGTATGGTAGCTGTGGCAAAAATGTACTGACCGAACTACAAAAAATAGTCAACTTCGCAGCACGAGTTATTTCCGGTCGACGGAAATACGACCATGTTTCGGATGTCATTTCAGACTTAGGTTGGCTCACTGTTCCAAAGCTAGTTGACTATTTTGACATATGCATGATTCATAAAATTTTATCGCTGGACGTACCAATAGGATTGCGTGAAGCACTGTTGTTTAATCATGAATCAATCTCTCGAAGAACACGGCAGTCGGATCATATTTCAACCACTCGCCCCCGCAACAACCATGGAAAACGTACATTCATCTATCGTGCATCCAAATTGTATAACACATTCGCCATAGATCATCATGTGAACCACCTTAGCATGACTTCTTTTAAGCGCCACATTCGCAAAATGTTGGCTGATGCATCGTGATTTTTTTTTCGTGACTAGTTAGTTTATTTTAAGTGTCCGCGATTTTGTTCTCATGAAGATGTGTGTGTGTGTGTGTTTTTATAACTTTTTTTATACCGTGCGGTATTACATTGTATGACAAGGGTATTGGAATAGCCCATTTTGTGTGGAAATACCTGATAATGTGAAATAAATAAATAAATAAATAAATGAAACGGAGATAATTTGGAAAAAAACTTAAATGATATCTTTTAGCACACCTTTTTTTTCGCCATCCCATGTCATACGTGTTATACTCAGCTGGCTAGCGTTTCATCAGTCACAAAACCCTCTAATGTCTCGCCGCTGATATCTCATCTCCCTTTTTCTTCTGCTCTTTCCGCAGGTATGACGAAGTCAGCGCCTCGTACGTATACGTCGAACCCGCTGCCAACGCCTCAGCCACTCCAGTCGACCCCTCAAAGCAGCCCTCCTCCCCTAAAGACCCTTCTGAAGAGCCTTCTGCGGCACCCCGGAGGAAACGTTCCTCCGGGGAAGAGTTGGAAGAGGGAGAGATTGAAGAGGAAGAGGAGGAGGGAGAGAGAGTGGAGTATCACTGGACGGGGGAGGAATATTGGACAGAGCGGAGGGAGAGGTGGAGAGAGCGTGAGAGGAGGGAAGAGGTGACGAAGGTGGAGCAGAGAACTCAATACCAGGTGAGTTTTATTTAGTGATAGGGAACGTTTGTCGCCGTAACAGCATCGATGAAATAATCGAGAAATTTATCGATAACGATTTTGCTTGTTAGGTATCACATCTCATTTATCAAGTTTTCAGATTGCTTGATGTTGAGAAAGGTTAAACGGAACGCGATTCTACTCTTTCGGCACTTTCCTGTGTTAACCTGATGGAATATTTTGTGACGTCAGTGTTAACAGTGCACTGCTGATGTCAATTACGTTGATATGTGTGGGATAGCGCTGCTTGCTGTGTTGTTTTAGATGCGTGTTTACCTTGTGGTGCAGCTGATTTGTGTTGTGACGTCGGAGAGTGAGGTCCTTCTTGTATCGTAGTGTGTGACGCTGAGATCGACTTTTAACCAGGTGATGCTGATCCATGACAAACCAGGGCTGCGGACTCGGAGTCGGCTGTCGGAGTCGACCACTTTCACAGGAGTCGGAGTTGATTTTGGAAACCGGAGTCGGAGTCACCGAAAATCCATCGACCCCGCAGACTTGGCAGGACTGCGGCGTCTGAGTTGGAGTGGAGTCTCGCTCTGCCCGGAGCCGGAGTCGGAGCTGTTTTCGGAGTCGGAGTCACCGAATATTCATCGACTCCGCAGCCCTGTGACGAACATAACATAACTGCTACTAGGTATCAGTTGTTATCTGTAACACTTATAGGCTATCTGTAACCCATCTGTAACAGACTGAAGTAACACCTCCCCATAATTCGCCATTCTTTTTTCCTCAGGCACGCGAGACCTCCACACCGGCAGTGATAGAGAGTGGTCCCCGGTCACCGATACCAACTGTGACCGAGCCGCCCTGGCTGAGGATGATTGTCACAGAGACCAAGGTAAGATCACAGAGTGATTGTCACAGGTAAGATCACAGGATGATTGTCACAGAGACCAAGGTAAGATCACAGGATGATTGTCACAGGTAAGATCACAGGATAATTGTCACAGAGACCAAGGTAAGATCACAGGATGATTGTCACAGAGACTAAGGTAAGATCACAGGATGATAGCCACAAAGACCAAGGTAAGATCGCAGAATGATTGTCGTAGAGATAAAGGTTAGATGATAGGATGATGTCACAGGTAAGATCTCAGGATGATTGTCACAGAGACTAAGGTAAGATCACGGGATGATTGTCACAGGTAAGATCACATTATTATTGTCAATGAGACTAGGTTATGATGATAGATAAATATTAGATATGATGAAATTATGGTATTGGTGCATATATTAACTGCATCATACGCTGTTTCATGTATCTCATATTACTATAACCCCGTGTTTCCATTCATTGTCCTGCATACCAATGACGTCATATATTGTTTGACTGCTGGTGGATCTCTGTGTTGGTTCGCTGTAGCTGTAATGCTATGTATTTGTACCAATGACGTCATACATTGTCTGTTTGTCAGCTGCCTGATCTCTGTGTTGGTTTTCTGTAGCTGTAATGCTATGCAATGTACCAACTACCAATGACGTCATATATTGTCCGTTCACCAGCTGGCTGATCTCCGCGTTGGCTCTCTGCATATCGCCACTGAGCTATATTTGTACCAATGACGTCATATATTGTTTGTTTGCCAGCTGGCGGATCTCCGCGTTAGTCCGCTCCATATCGCCACTGAGCTATATCTTTTTAGCAATGACGTCATATACTGTCTGTTCACCAGCTGGCTGATCTCCGCGTGGGCTCTCTGCATATCGCCACCATAGACGGCCTGACGGTCGGACGGGACACCTCACAACAGGTGAGAATGATGTCATCTTCTTACAGTGCTGGTGAGAACTTTGCAGTCAGGTAATCGTTTAATAGGTACAGTCCACAGCAGAAGTAATGTGTGGTTTCAGTCATGGGTATATTCTGCTTCTGAAGCCTAGGAACGATCAGCCAGACTGCAACGAGACTTTAAATGTAGCTTACATGTATCTTCACCCTTGCAGCTACAACTTTATCTTTTGACGTCTTCTTTTCAATCAGTCCGCATTTAAAAATCGTCGGTCAAAGCCATCCGTTGAGATTGGTAAAACCACACATTACTTTAGCGGTGGGCTGTACCTATACATAGAAAAGTGTAGCTGTCACTAGCTAGTATTGTTTACTATGACCGTTGGCTCTGAGCTATAGTTTTTCTCACATTTCTTAGCTATCAGCTTGTTGTCCTTCAGCTTTGCTAAACTGATGTCAGACTTGATCATCAGTTTAGTTCTGCCGTATCATCCATAGTAAGCTGCGAATATCGTTCTAGCCCTGACACCCCCTCTTCCTCGATCGTCTAACCCCACCCCCTCTCTCTCCCTCTCCCTCCCCTTCTTCCTCTTCCCTCCCTCTCTCTCTCTCTCTCTCTCTCTCTCTCTCTCTCTCTCTCTCTCTCTCTCTCTCTCTCTCTCTCTCTCTCTCTCTCTCTCTCTCTCCCCTCCCTCCCTCCCTCTCTCTCTCCTCTCCATCTCTCCCTCCCTCCCTCCCTCTCCCTCTCTCTCGTCTACCCCCTCTCTCTCCCTCTCTCTCGTCTACCCCCTCTCTCTCCCTCCCTCCCTCCCTCCCTCCCTCCCTCCCTCCCTCCCTCCCTCTCTCTCTCTCTCTCTCTCTCTCTCGTCTAACCCCTCTCTCTCTCCCTCCCCTCTCTTTCCCTCTCCCTCCCTCCCTCCTCCCCCTCTCACTCCCTCTCGTTTAACCCCCCACTCTCTCCCGGCAGCTCTGTCTGAATGACACAAACCTCAGCAAATTTCACGCGGTAATTGGCTACCGCGCCGAGTCAGCTGACACGGTGGGCGGGGCTAGCGGTGGGTACTACATCCGGGACCTGGGCAGCAGAAACGGCACCTTTGTCGATGATAAACGGATCTCGGTGGCCAAACAGGTTAGTGAAGGGGATTTAACTGCGGGTGTAGTACATTTTTTTCGTGGATGTAATACTGTATTGTGGTCGATATTGTGTGTAAGGTCATTTTCATGGTTTCTTTAAAGTGATTCGTTGATAATGCTTGGATGTTCAAGTTTGAGATAATGCTTTGGTTTTGGGTTTCTACTATGCATTTCAGACCCCATGAGACCCTGTTTTTCGGCGATAATTTATTTAATATTTGTCCAATTTGCTTCAAATTTTCACAATGCACATTTCAGCTCAAGCGCCAATTTTTGTCAATATGGTCTCTTAACAAAATATCAAATTTTAGGGTACTTGTCGTTGCCTCGTAATGTTAAAATCGGCCCCGTAAATCCGTCAGTGGAGTAGAGGCTATCCGTGCGTAGGCGTGACGTCACAAACACGTGACCATTAAGCTCCGCCCTCCCGGCGGACGGGGCGGTGACCTTGGCCGGTCAGTCGGCTGCGTGGAGCGGGCGGGGCAGTAGCTGTCGCACCGGGGCGGCTCGCATGGAGCGAAGCTGCCGTGCAGTTGTCGTTGCAGCCGTAACTTCATCGAATGAGCTAAATAGCGCGCATAAGTAACGCACTAGCTGAAGCCCTTGACTTTCCATTTATCACAAATGTATACGTACACCTTGTTCAGTCACAGCAAAATATCTATTTCCACACAAGATTCGGGGCTTGTGAAAAAAGCGCACATAAAAAACGCTGTTGATTTCAAATGATTGCGTAAAATTATGTATCGTGTCAGACTACGTTCAAATTGCAAAATAGAATCACCATTAATAGGATGCAATTTATGTGTTTGATATATGAAATATGATTAGGAATTATGCCGGTGTGATCGATTCATATCATCCCGGTGCAACATAAGCATTGAACACCTTCAGGAGTAATCTATTTTGTCATCGACTTCGGTTGAGGAGGTCGCCGGACTAACTTTACCCCCAGATCTTATGTGTTGAAATGCAAACATGAAAAGTAAAAGCCTAGAGAATAGAGATAGTTACCTCACCATTGAGGACATACCTACTGCTACATAAGTTTTGCAAACAAAAAAGTTTTGTGTTTCTTGATGATCGTTCTCGTGTCCGCCTGCCACATTCCTATTGCTTTCTGTGCACGCCTTAACAATATAACACACACACATGGCATTCTACCATACGACACATTACGCTTCTGCCCCACCCGGCGCCCCGCACCGCTTCACGAATCACGAATACGGTCGTCTCGCTGGAGCGATGCCCCAGGCAATCGGCCGTGCCCGAGACTCTTCATCCTACCCTGTTGCTTTCTGCGCCTTCCTCAGAAACATCTATTGACGCTGCCAAATATATCAATATTTTTTTTGGTCATGCAGAGGCTTACGCATGATCTTATATGTAGGTAATCGGGTGGTGACCTGACCCAACCTGACGATGAGATAGGTGCAACTCCGGCGTAAATAAATATTCAGAGTTCAAGAGTCCATCTATCTTTCCTTCTACGGCCGGTTCCGTTCCAATAGATCCTAGCTTTGATTCTGATCATTCTGAATATTCTGAGCTGGTTCGACGTTTAAATACCAAAATGAGGAGAAGAGGACACCAAATGCCCTCGAACGGATAATTTTTTGGTTTTCGTCCCGACAACGTTGCCAGCTTAACTTGTCTCCATTATGTGGTCCCGCTGCGACCTCTCCGCGGTGCTGACACCGACTGAAGCGGCATAGACCCATCGCGGTCACGGCCGGTGGGCGGAGTCAAATTGAGCACGGCGTAACGTGATTGGCCAGCGCTCCTATCCAATCCGGTGCGGCAACGAGCGAGCCTCTATCCGGGTGCAAAAACTGATTAACATTACGAGCCAACGACAAGTGCTCTAAATTTTGATATTTTGTTAAGAGACCATATTGACAAAAATTGGCGCTTGAGCTGAAATATGGTCTGCCAAAATTTCAAGCTAATTGGACAAAAATTGAAGAAATTATCGCCGAAAAACAGGGTCTCATGGGGTCTGAAATGCATAGTAGATCGCTGTGTTCGCTAACCATTTCTTCGCCAAAAAACGGTAACCATCCGTCTTCCAAAAAACGGGTTCGATCATTTCAGTAAAATATGAAAATTTTCGGGACTAGATCCCTCGCAACCGCTAGACCAAGGCCGTTGGGTAGTTGGTAGTGCACGTGCTTCACCCTTCATTCCACAACTATTTGTCGTGTCCTAACTATTTGCCGAAAGTTTGCTCACTGTGTTTGACCGGAGCGCTGTTTTCTGTCTGTCAGGAGTCTGAGGACACCGCTCTACCACACGGCTGTGTTCTCCGTCTGGGCGGCACGTGTCTCATGTGCCACGTGCACGTGGCAAACGACACGTGTCTTGAATGTGAGCCTGGCCAAACACAACAAAAACTACCTTCAACACTTATCCCGCCGGCTGCGGCGGTGGGCGACGCGCGACTACAGCGCCGCCAGGTGGCCAAGCGCATCAAACAGAAGTACGGTCTGCGCGCGGGAGATGGCGCTGTGGTCGAACTAGCGCCTGGGTACTCCGACCGCGCAGCTGAGCGGCGTCAAACCAAAGGTTCAGCGCATCATTCTGAGAAAACACAGACCGCGGATATACGCCAGAAACTACCGGAGAAAAACAAAGGCTTTCAGCTTCTGCAGAAAATGGGATGGAAAGAGGGATCAGGGTTGGGGAGAGAGGGGCAGGGGAGGGTAGAGCCGGTGCTGGCAGAGGAAAGAGCCGAGAGGCGGGGACTGGGCTGTGAGGAAGTTGTGGCTCCGGTGGTTGGCAAAAAACAGCAGCGGAAAACGGAAGTGTGGCAGAAAACGCAGGAGCGATTCAGTAAGCTCGTGTGATTTCAAGGGACGTCCTGTGATTTGAGGAGTTGGGATGGACATAAGACGTTTCATGCTTTAGTTTGGCAGTGATTGACTATCATGTTATCACTTGACACTTATCGATGATTGCGAGCGATTTCATAGACCTTTGTGTTCAAATAAAGGTCTATGATAATTTGAATGTCGAATTGTTTGTTTCATCGTTGCTGAGTGAATGTAGAAGTGCTTTCTTGTCTTGTAAGTCTGGTAATAAACGCGATGAATTTCGTCCGGGTCTTGTTATCAGACACCAGTCATTATTTCCTGCTCTTCGAACAACTAGGGGCACTCGTGTAGTAGAAGGTGGTGGTTGCAAAGCAAATGTTTTTATGGATTGTTAGACAGCGAACGATCAAAGGCTGCGGAGTACGTGACCCCAGCTAGAAAACGTCGCACTTTATTGTAAATTGCACGTAAATTATAATGTAGCAAACATCACTTTTGGTAAGTTGAATGTTACAGAGAAATGGATTTCGAAGATACGGCGGGGTCATGCCTGAGCCTGACATGAGTCTAGCTCTTATTTCATATACATATCATGGTAGAAGGCTTCGTGGCCAGTGGAACTCGCTATGCGATAAGGTGTTTCGACGAATTTTCCTAGTGGAATGTAAAAACCTTCACGCACAAAGAGATATGGCAGCCAATACTGCATCGTAATTGACGCAGATGTTTCAAAATATGGCTTGGGCCGCCAACTTGCATGCAGTGTTAGGGGGCATTTCTTTGTCAAATTTTGAGAAATTTGACGGAATAATTCTGGTAAATATTTGTGCTGGATCTTTTAAATTCTTTTTGATATGGAAAAGTCGGTAGGAAGACTGAGACGAGGGTTCAGCTGGGAAGGAATTGTGGGATTTGGAAAATTGTGGTATCATGATTAGCATCATAAATCATATATGACAATATGACAGAGGCAATGTATATGGGACGTTTTTCAATTCTAAGGAATAACACATGTACCACTTTTTTCTCATGCATCTTAATTTTTAAACAGTTAATAACAAGTGTCATCTATTTGCGAATGAGTGAGTGCGTGTCTTCGGGTGTTTACCGTGTGTGTATTTAATGTTGTGGTATGACTTCGCCTGTTAATGGGCCATAAGCCTGTTGGCGATTTATTTGAATAAATAAAGAAATAAATATCCAACATAATTTACAATTAAATATAAAGAGATGTGTATTGCTACCATCACAAATAATTTGCTTTTGGAAATTAATTGGAAATCATTTTATATATCAGGGAACATTTCTGCTTTCTAGTTTCTATATCCATGAGATGCAGCCCACAACCATAAATATATCTCATCCTACCCTCTGACGCCTCTGCAGACTGCAGTTAGATATAAAATCTGTCAACATAGGACATATTCATTTGACTAGGTCTAGGAGTTTGAAAATAACTTGATGATAATCCACTTTTTGTCTCATCCGCAGGCACTGCCGCGTTGTGACCTGCCCAGATGTCTCGCCTTCTGTTCTACTCAGTCCCTCTGGCTGCTGCCGGGATCTCATCATGGAGGTGGTACCTCCAACCACCACAACCCCCGGAGCCTCCACCTGCCATCTCCGAACCAGTCTACATCCCCAGTCGCTTCCCTCCACTGGAAGCCACCGACGACACTGCCATCTCTCGGCCGCCATCGGTACTAGAGCTTCACGCCCGGCCGCTGGCTCGTATGCGCACTGGAGATGAGTACCAACGACGCGAAGCGGCCGCGATGTTGTCACAAGCGCACGGTTTGACGGAGCCGGACTGTCGCCAACTGGGACAGACTTTGGACCACCGAACAGCACTCCTTCTCGCCAACTGGACGTCTACTGATCTACGGATGTTCCTCCCTCCGAGAGGCGTCTCCGCAGCAGCAGACTCAGCGCCTCCCCTGGAACTCCGTCTACGCCTACTCCTCGAATCCCTTCCCCCTGGCGCGCCCTGTGCTGAATTTTGGCGCGCGCGCGCTCTACGTCACCCGCCATTATCTGACTGGGATCCCGCGCCACTAGCGGCTGATGCGGCAGAACTTGGCGCCCCCGCCCCATGGCGATCCGCATCCTCTTCCGCCGTGGAAGCGGACTGTCTTCGCGCGCTACGAGAGCGGGCAGACTCCCCGCCACAGTGTCGCGCCATGTTGGCAGCTGGCGCGCTGGATCTTCTCGCTGCCGCGCATGCGCAGAAGCCGCGCGATGCGGCGCGATGTGGGGTGATTGCTCAGATTTTGGGAGGGTTTGACTCGGCCCAGTTGCTACATCAGGCGGGTTGGCTGGGGGTTCTGGCAGCCTGGAGTCGAGAGAAGGACATCAGAGTTGGTCCCGGTGCTTGGAGAGTCATCAGGAACCTCATCATTGAAGAGAGACTCCTTGGGACCTCGAAGACTACGAGTGGCGTCGGTGATTCCGGAAGGAGAGACGATCATGAAATGCGTAAGGGTGACACTGGTGGCTCAAAGCGTGCTAAGACGGGAAACGATGCAAGCGATGAGGCCAGAGACTCCAACCTCGCTGAGAAGAACTCTAAGCTATCTGAAGACAGCTCGAAAACCAATGTCACTACCACAACCACCACCTCTGGCACTACCATCACACACGAACCAGACGACCCCGTCGCCTCTGCTCTCGTTTCCCTCGACCTCCGCTTGGCGGCGCTGCGTTCACGGATATCCTCCTTCCTCTCCTCCCTCGGTCTCCCCTCTCTTCCCTCCACCCCTCCTCCCTCCCCACGCGTTCTCCGTCCTCTACCTGACGGTGTGTTAGTTCTTCACCCTCGGAGTATCTCCGCTGAAGAGAAGACTGAGGTTGACATTGTGTTTGTGCATGGTTTGCTTGGAGGAACGGAGCGGACTTGGCGTCAGGCAGACTCGGCCAAAGGCGAGCTCCTGCCTCCTCCTGAGCCGAGACTTTCCGAGATAGTGATGCGGATTCATGGAGAAGAAGGGAGATCGGTAGATAAAGGAGACAGAGAAGAGAGTCAAAAGAGTGGAGAGGATGTCGCAAAAGCCGGTGGTGATGTGACTAGGCGGTCTAGTGACATAGTTGATCGATCGAGTGATGTGATTGGTGAAAATCACGTCAGTGATCGGTCCAGGGAGACCATGGTGACTGATTCAAACCAGAACATCGACAGTAGTACCAATGGGAAGGAGAGGGTCAACAGAAAGAACGGCGTCATGGACTCCAACATCTCCAAATCGGATATCAGCCCAAAGATCAGTACAGGGAGAAGCGTGGGAAAGGGTCAAGCCGTCAGCGAGATCAACACCTCATCCAGCAACAACACCAGTGACTCTTCTTCAAACATCGCTTCAACTACCGCTACCACTACCGCAATCATCGCATCCAATGGTTCCACCGCTCGTTCTACGAGTTCCACCGCCTTCTCCACCGCCTTTTCCACATCCACAATGACATCCACCCATTCCACCTCCTATTCCACCTCCACAGCTTCGTCTTTCTTCACTAGCTCACCTGACCAAGAACCCTACACCCAGTGCTGGCCTCGAGACTGGCTTCCATCTTCCCTTCATCCCCTTAAAGTCCGTATTCTTTCCGTAGATTACGACTCTGCTTGGAGTGATTGGAGACCTCGCTGTGCTGCAAGACGTTCCAGGACTCTAGCTGAAAGGGCGGCTGATTTGAGGAAACTGTTAGAAGATGCGGGTGTTGGGGACAGGCCGATAGTATGGGTGACCCATTCTATGGGTGGGCTGCTTGTGAAGAAGATGTTGGTTGATGTCGAGAAAGAGGTGGAGAGGGGAGATGGGGAAAGAGGAGAGGGGATGGTGGAGAGAGTGAGGAGAGAGGAGAGAGTGAAGGGTGGGAAAGATGAAGTGAGAGCTGGTGGTACTGATGTGAAAACTGGTGATAGGGAAACCAAAGACTCTTCAACAAGCAACAGTGATGTTCAGCGTGGTGATTTGAATCACCCTCTCACCACCAACACCAACCTACCTGGCTCACCCTCCTCCCCACTCTCTCCCCTCCTATCCTCTACCCTCGGCGTCGTGTTCCTCTCCTGTCCCCACACGGGCTCCGCTCTCGCCACCTCCGTCTCCGGCCCCCTCTACCCCCTCCTCCTCCCCTCTACCGAGCTCCACTCCCTCTGCCGCCACTCTCCCCCTCTGCTCCAACTCCGAGAGGAGTTTGTCTCACTGTGTCTCAAACGAGGCACGCCGTGTCTCTCGGTGGCTGAGACACTGCCTCAGCCTCTGCTCGGACGAAAAGTGAGGTTCGTTGAAGCTGACTCGGCCGATGCCGGTGTGGGGGAAGTGGTTGAAGTCGCGGAAAATCATTTAGGCGTGTGCAAACCCAGAGATAGAAAGAGTGAAGTGTACAAACTTGTGGTGGACTTTGTGAAACAGGTGTGCGCAGGACTGTGAAGAGAGAGTGAGGGAGGAGGTAGAAGAAAGGTAGAGAAAAAGAGGAAAGGTGTCGAGAGCTAGGAGAGTAAAGAAGTGGGCACATGCTGAAAAATGTAACGGTTTTACTGTTTACCATTGATGATTTACTGTTTATCATTGACGTGGCATGCGTGTGTGTGAATGTTTCATACTGTTTCATACCGGTGACCACTGATGCTATTTGCTTGACGTGATATAATTGGCGCCGTGTTGCTGTCTTGGCTGGCTGTAGGTAAATCAGGTGTAACTATGTTGTCCTAAACGGGTAGGGTTTGTTTACACAAAAGCGCAAACATTTATCGCCCTAGTATGATTATTGTCTTGTTTGGCCAGCCCAGACAAAGGTGAGGGGTGCCGGGTGCGTATGATAAAGGAATTAACTGAATGTGCGTGATAGGCTGCCATTGTATATTGCCATTGTAGGCTAGTGCGTGTATCATTCGGTGTAACACCTGTAACACCAGTGTATGTTGAGGAGCCTAAAAGGCCTTAATTGAGAACGTTTGTGGCTGTGACGTTGAAACAACTCGCATAAAGTGTGCCTTTGTGAAACAATGCGCCTCTAGTCAGGTTTGTCATGCAACGAACAGGGCCAGTGAAGTGTGCTGTTCCCGTTTTAGGGCGATAGGATCTGGAAATTACCTGTTGTGTTATCTTGTGTTACCTTTGCGCGTGTTGCGTTGAACGTGCTTAAAGAGACATGTGCTAGAAATGATAAAAAGATATGTTTTGTAAGTGCTCAGGAATGTGGCGTTAAAAGTTGCCCGGTCGCCTTATTGTTGGTCTCAAATGTGATTGAAAGATACGCAATAAACCAGTGGTGGCCCTTATCAGTGTTGGTTTCGCTTTTTTACTGCGAACTGCGATAAAGACGTCACTGCGAATTGCCGGTAAATACGTTAAAACTGCTGCTATATTTGCCAGCACAATAAGCGCATCTTCGAAAAAGCTCGAGGCCGACTGAGAGATTCGAACCGGCGGACTAGCAGAAATGTGGCGCCAGTGAGGGTTCCCATAGGTGGGCTACGGCGTAATCGTTTCGTAGGAGGTAACCCTGGCCCCTGGAAGGTAGGCAATTTAGCTCCGGGGCAGGTCATGCCCCGAGGCGATGATTCTGCTGCCCCTGTGAGGTAGGCTTGTACGCGGCGGTGTACGGTTAGCGTCGTTCATGTTGAACACCCCGGTTTTCACGTATTTCAACATATACGACTTGGCGCCGGTTAAAATAACAAAGAACGCACCTGCCCCTGGAAGGTAGGCAGTTTAGCCCGGGGCTATAAAAGGTTGAAATGCGTGAAAACCGGGGTGTTCCACATGAACCATGCTAACCGTACACCGCCGCGTACAAGTCTACCTTCCAGGGGCAGCAGAATCGTCGCCTCGGGGCATGACCTGCCCCGGGGCTAAATTGCCTACCTTCCAGGGGCGTAAGTTCAGGTGGCACGACCCACGCTAGCTCGATAGCGCTACATCTCAGTCTGTGGGTTCCAATCCCAGTTGGCTCACGGTTTTTCTACCCTTAGGTGCTTATTATTCGCACGTATTTCGTGTTTTGATCGCCCCATAGCAAAAAGAAGGTGGAAATGAACCAAAATGATTTTCACTCGCATCACATCCTCAAACACGTCCACAAAACGTCACACACACTGAACTCTAAAAGGCAGTAATTTATTTATTTTGCTCCCATGGCACATATTGCTATATAATAC